TTCCATTAGCTTGTCTAATATAGCTTGGTGCTTCATCTAAGTGCTGTTTCTAAGTGTGTCGTTGGAGATATTCTGGAGAGTGCTGTTTCTAAGTGTGTCGTTGGAGATATTCTGGAGAGTGCTGTTTCTAAGTGTGTCGTTGGAGATATTCTGGAGAGTGCTGTTTCTAAGTGTGTCGTTGGAGATATTCTGGAGAGTGTTGTTTCTAAGTGTGTCGTTGGAGATATTCTGGAGATAACCTGGAGGTAATCTGAGGTATTCAGGAGGATAAATACAAAAATTAAGATTTGTTCGATTTATATTATTCTTATAATTGGAATGGCAGGTTTAGTTCAGTGTAACAATTGCTATGCATTTGTTTCACGTTCCAGTTTTTGGAGGTTTGGTTGTTGTCTAATCTGTAGACAGTTCTCTATCTTGCGGCAGGAGATTGTATTTTTGAAGTCTGAGATTTGTAAATTATCTGGTGAGGAATCTCAGACTGGAACTGCTGCAAAGCCACTGCCGCAGAGACATGCTAGGAAAGGCAGATGGATTACTGTAGGATCTGGTAGACTTAGAGTTGTGGATAAAAGGCATTTTGTACAGTCTGTTGCTCTTCATAATTCATTTTCTGCACTTTCAGAGTGTAATGGTGTTGTGGAGAGAGGCACTGAGGCTAGTGGTGTTGTGGAGAGAGGCACTGAAACTAGTGGTGTTGTGGAGAGAGGCACTGAGACTAGTGGTGTTGTAGAGAGAGGCACTGAGGCTAGTGGTGTTGTGGAGAGAGGCACTGAGACTAGTGGTGTTGTGGAGAGAGGCACTGAGACTAGTGGTGTTGTAGAGAGAGGCACTGAGGCTAGTGGTGTTGTAGAGAGAGGCACTGAGGCTAGTGGTGTTGTAGAGAGAGGCACTGAGGCTAGTGGTGTTGTGGAGAGAGGCACTGAGGCTAGTGGTGTTGTGGAGAGAGGCACTGAGACTAATGGTGTTGTGGAGACCGGCTTGGAGACTATAGTGAGGCCTAATAGAAAGCAGTTGTTGTTGGGGGATTCCATTATAAGAGGTGTGGAGATGGACAATGGTGGTCTTGTGAGGTGTCTTCCCGGAGCTACTGCTCACAGAGACAGGAGACGACTTGTAATATTGTTAAGCAAGCAAAGCAGGGTTGAATTGATGTACTTGTCCATCTAGGGCTAAAATGACTTGGTTTGAATGAGGTTTCAGAGGTTAAGGAAGTTTTAGTGTTTTGCCAATGATATACGGCAGGGTTGCTTCCACACTCTGTCATTCTCTGAAGTTCTGCCTGCGCATAACACTCCAGAACGACAGGTATGGATGCTTTATTAGGACTTTAATTTGTGGCTTGGTGAATGGTGTCGGGAGCAAGGATTTGGCTTTATTTCTCATGGTAGCTCTGTTTGGAATGGAGATAAGCTGTACAAAAAAAAGATGGTTTGCATCTTTCTCAAAAGGGAACAAATGTTCTCAGTGAGCAGTTCAGAGGTTTTGCTAGGATGTATTTAAACTAGGAGGAGGGGGCAAAAGGGTGATAAAACATCAATCCAATTGTCCCCCAAAACAAGGACAGAAGGTGCCTGTAGCAAGTGTGTTAAAAAATGATAAGCTTAGAGTCATGTCTACAAATGCTTGCAGTTTAGGGAATAAGATCCATGAACTTGTGGAAATAATGGCAACTGATAGTGTAGATTTAGTCACTGTTACTGAGACATGGTACAATGAGAAAAATGACTGGGACATAGCAATACCAGGGTACTTTTTATATAGGAAAGATAGGGAAGGCAAGAAAGGGGGAGGGGTGGCCTTGTATGTGAAGGATAGCATAAAATCTAGCCTAATAAAAGTTAGTGAGGCAAACATGGAGTCCGTTTGGGCTACGTTAGAATTTGGTAATCGCACAGTAACTCGTGTAGGTGTGATTTATAGGCCCCCTAGACAAATTGAAGAGTTAGATAATCTACTAGCTGAGGAAATAAAGCAAAATGACAAATGAAGGGGAAGTTATCATCATGGGTGACTTTAATCTTCCTGATGTAAATTGGAAAACAAAATTAGCTACTTGTGCCAGGAGCACAATATTACCCTAAATCCCTACTGAGTTGCCCCCTAAAGCAAAGCTGTTGAGGAGCCAACTCATAAAGATGGCATACTAAATTTAGTGTTAACAAATGGAGATTTGATATCAGATATTACTGTAGGTGAAAGTTTAGGATCCAGTGATCATCAGTCAGTGTGGTTTAATATAAGAACAGTGACTGAGTCACACCACACAAAAACAAAGTTTTAGACTTTAGAAAAACAGACTTTTCTAAAATTAGAATATGGGTAGAGGAGTCATTATCAGACTGGAGCAATTTAAATGGAGTCCAAGAAAATGGGATTATTTAAAAGTTGCACTATTGAAGGCAACAGAAAATTGCATTAGGCTTGTCAGTAAAAGCAAAAAATTCAAGAAACCACTGTGGTACTCCGCAGATGTGGCCAAAATAGTTAAAAACAAAAAGTTAGCATTTAGGAATTATAAAAAAAAAAAACAGAGTGAGGAAGACAAAATGATCTATAAGATTAAGCAGAAAGAGGCTAAGCAAGTTATAAGAGCTTCCAAATCACACACAGAAGAGAAAAATAGCACAGTCAGTAAAAAAGGGGGACAAAACATTTTTTAGATACATAAATGAGAAAAGAAAAGTAAAACAAGGATTAGTTAGATTAAAAACAAAAGAAGGAAGGTATGTAGAAGAGGATAAAGGTCTAGCTGACTGCCTCAAAGAATATTTTTGTTCTGTATTTACAGATGAAAATGAAGGAAAGGGACCCCAGTTGAGAAAAAGGATAAATGAGTTATTTATTACACGTGAGTTTACAGAGGAAGAGGTTCTATTTCAACTGTCAAAAGTAAAGACAAATAAGTCAATGGGACCTGATGGAATACACCCAAAGCTATTAAAAGAACTTAGTGGTGTACTAGGCAAAACTATTAACAGATTTATTTAACCAACTTCATTGTTAAACAGGAGTAGTCCCAGAAGATTGAAGCAATGCACGTTGTGCCCATTTACAAGAAAGGTAATAGGGAGTGAGTCGTAGCAACTATAGCCAGTGTTTCTACTTCAGTAGTGGGGAAAGTGATGGAAACCAAGGCTAAAAGGATATAGGATTGATGAACATCTAAAACACATGGATTTCAAGATCCGGTGACAACATGGGTTTACTTCAGGGAGATCATGCCAAACAAATCATTGATTTTTTGATTGGGTAACTAAAAAATTATAGATCATCAGGGTGGTGCAGTAGACATTGCTTACCTAGATTTCAGTAAGGCTTTTGACACTGCTGCACATATAGAAGCGTTTATCAATAAACTGCAATCTTTAAATTTGGATTCCAATATTGTTGAATGGGTAAGGCAGTGGCTGAGTGACAGGCAACATAGGGTTGTAGTTAATGGAATATATTCGGAGCTTGGACTTGTCACCAGTGGGGTACCTCAGGGATCTGTACTTGGACCCATTCTCTTTAATATTTTTATTAGTGATATTGCAGAAGGTCTTGATGGTAAGGTATGTCTTTTTGCTGATGATACTAAGTTATGTAACAGGGTTGATGTTCCAGGAGGGATAAGCCAAATGGCAAATGATTTAGGTAAACTAGAAAAATGGTCAGAGTTGTGGCAACTGACATTTAATGGGGATAAGTGCAAGATAATACATCTTGGACGTAAAACCCAAGGGCAGAGTACAGAATTTGATAGAGTCCTAACCTCAACATCTGAGAAAAAGGGATTTAGGGGTGATTATTTTGATGACTTAAAGGTAGGCAGACAATGTAATAGAGCAGCAGGAAATGCTAGCAGAATGCTTGGTTGTATAGGGAGAGGTATTAGCAGTAGAAAGAGGGAAGTGCTTATGCCATTGTACAGAACACTGGTGAGACCTCACTTGGAGTATTGTACACAGTACTGGAGACCGTATCTTCAGAAGGATATTGATACCTTAGAGAGAGTTCAGAGAAGGGCTACTAAACTGGTTCATGGATTGCAGGATAAAACTTACAAGGAAAGGTTAAAGGATCTTAACGTGTATAGCTTGGAGGAAAGACAAGACAGGGGGATATGATAGAAACATTTAAATACATAAAGGGAATCAACACAGTAAAGGAGGAGACTGTATTTAAAAGAAGAATAACTACCACAACAAGAGGACATAGTCTTAAATTAGAGGGGCAAAGGTTTAAAAATAATATCAGGAAGTATTACTTTACTGAGAGGGTAGTGGATGCATGGAATAGCCTTCCAGCTGAAGTGGTAGAGGTTAACACAGTGAGGGAGTTTAAGCATGCGTGGGATAGGCATACGGCTATCCTTACTATTAGATAAGGCCAGGGACTAATGAAAGTATTTAGAAAATTGGGCAGACTAGATGGGCAGAATGGTTCTTATCTGCCGTCACATTCTATGTTTCTATAAGAAGTGTCTGTCCCCCAGCAGTCACCAGTGACAGCTGCAGGTTATTAATCGCTGTCTATGGACGGTTTCGCGGGATCCTCCATAGATCTTGTGGCTGTACTCTTGTGCATGTGCAAGACTACAGCAGGGACATCGGCTCCTGCAATCTCAAGCAGGAGCAGAAGAGGACTGGCCGGAAAAAGATGGAGGTTGCTGAGAGGGGGAGGTTCAAATAAGTAGAACCCAGAATGCAAATTATGCAAAGTCCTCATAAGCTGACAGTGTCACTTTAAGACTAAAGTAGCCAAACCAGAATAGCTTTCTAGTTTGTCTATATTGGCCTTAAACGTGAAATAAATTTAGCATTCTTACTTTATTAAATAATGCTGTAAGTCATCTCACAGGGGACAGTCATAGAAAGGCATATGAATGTTTGATAATAAATTACAATTCGACAAAGTATAATGAAGAACTTGCCATTCTCTGGAAACCTGTATTGAAGTGCGACTTTGTTTTTATATTTCCACAGTTTAGGTTTGCTCCTAAACAATGTATTCCTTTTTATTTCATCCTAAACAGAAAAGACCGCCCCATCTCTCTCGGAATCTTTCCTTTGGCTTCTGGAGATTCTTTGGTTTTACCAGATGCACGTGGCGGTGAAACACCAGGAAATGGACCGTGGAAACTTCAAGAACAAAACCACGCACGCTGTAATACCAGTTTGAAGGTAAAGATTCGCCCCAGCAGAGGGTTCGATACATCAGGCCTAGCCTCAGTGATTAAGGGGGACACGTCAGAATTAGAATTGGTGAGCACCAGGAGTTATATCAGATAGAATGTTTTTATAATTTTGTGAAGTTCCCATCCAGGAATTTATTTTGAGGACATGTACACGGGTTTTAATTCAATGTTATCTCATCACACTTGTTTTTGAATCTTGTTTTAGGATGAATTTTTAAACATTAGCCAGGCAGGTCCCAAGACCGGCAGTACCGATTCAGACAACATGGTCCATGCCGCCTCCAAGGCACAGAAAGATGATGTCATAAGGCAAGCCAATGCAAAGAATAACAATCTGCCAAATAACAAGAACAGCGATGATGTGCGTGTCACTCAGGAGACCACTGCACCATCGATGGGTAAGCAGTCTTAAAGGGTCAGTATGCATTACAAAGTCAGCCTTTATTCACCACCACAGTTCAGTCTCTTTGTGGTAATAGCTAAGGGCTTGGTTCGAACTACTACCACTAGTGCTGAGATTCTCTCTGTTACATTGTTGGGATGATACTAAAGTTTCCATGTGATGATAATTTGTGAGAACGCAATGTAGCACACTGTACATTTTGGGTGAAATAAATCCTGTTCTGTTTGACTTTATTTTCTGTCAAGTTTCTGGTTACGCTTCCTATAGTAACTGTGCTAAAGCTTATGCCTCCCATGGTCTCTGAATTTACTTAGTAGCCAGTTTGGTCAGAAAAGCCGATCAATGTATGTGCATTCGCGATGATGTGATACCATGGTAACTATCATAGAAACTGTCCTCGTTGCAGGATCCGCAATGTATTCTCAATGAAAACCTTTTTGGTTTTGGCCCAAAGCATCCTTGGTTTGACTCCTTTTTTTTTTTAATAGTTTTTTTGTACATCATGTATTTCACTTTATATGCAACTTTTTTTATGCATTCGTATTTGTCACAGCAACTGGTCCCTCTGTGTATCATGGTAATTGTCTGTTAAATAATTGATGTTGATTTTTCCACATGGATAGGAAATGGCAATTGAAAATGATGTACTCTTGTAAATTCTGATCCCAGAACAGAGTTTTTTGGAGAATACATCCATCAATAAAATAAGAAAACTACACCATACAAATTCTAAATAGTATTCTTTATTTTGTGAGATTACTGATAGGAAAAAAAAATGCAATTTCCAGGGAATATAAGCAAGGACTGTTTTGGTCTCCGTGGATATTTTGTTCTCGCATGGCTAGTGATGCAGCATCAGACACGGCCACTTTTACTACATATAACATTACTGCTGAAATAACTCCACTACCACAAAGTCAGAATGTACACCCGAAAACCACGGATGACTGAGGAGAATGTCTAGTGCTCTAGAACATCAGGGAGTTTTGTTAAATACTACGTTTAAGTCGTTGTTTCTGCACTGGTATTCTGTTCATATGGACTCAAACTTCGCATCTGAACAAAGAGATTTTTTTTTATTAAATACAAATCATTAAGGTACTGCATAGCCCTTGTCGTGAACCTGCACAGTTTGTTTAGGACCTGTGAATAATGCAGATTTTCAATCTTTCTTTTTATAGTTATGAACCAATACACTTTTATATTATTATTTTTATACGTTGTGCTTACTTGGATACATCTTTAAACACTATTAATCTATTCTACATAATGTGTTTTTTCTATCTTGTTTTGTGCTTTTATTGTTCGATCCATGGTTAGGCCTCTAGATGGGGTTTTGTGTTGCACTAAGCCTGCATTACAGCCTTTAACTGTGTTGCAGGTTGTTTTTGTAAGACTTTCTTTTCTTATTGGTAGGGATTCTCTAACCTATACAAGTCAGATCTTTGTCACAGCATTTTTCTTAAATCCCAGATAACTATATAGTTGTCCTTAATGTCTTTACCAAATAATTTATTAATGCTAGGCTCCCTTTTAATGGATTGATTTTTAAAGAACATATTGATTACGTCTGCGCTGAAGGTAACGTTGCCAGATTTCAATGTGAAAGAAAGGACTCTGCAGGATGTTAAGTGCAAACAAAGCATTTTGTTGTGGGGTAATGGCTGATAGAACCGCAATACATTAAAGTAGCGTTGGTAGACTGATGGCCTCGGGCTTTGTAAATGTGATGGTGGTCAATACAAGTCTCATTTCTGTTCTGTAGAGTTTTGTTGGTTTTTTGTTGTTGTAAATATTGAAACCATATGGACCTGTAGTAATGGGGTGATCTTCCTGTGCTCTCCTGTATAGTACAGCACCCTATTAATATATAGTACTCGAGGTAATGGTTATTGGTTCTCTGTGTGACACAGCGTTTTATTAATATATATTACTCGAGGTAATGGTTTTTGGCTCTCTGTGTGATACAGCGTTTTATTAATATATAGTACTCGAGGTAATGGTTTTTGGCTCTCTGTGTGACACAGCGTTTTATTAATATATAGTACTTGAGGTAATGGTTTTTGGCTCTCTGTGTGATACAGCGTTTTATTAATATATAGTACTCGAGGTAACGTTTTTTGGTTCTTTGTCTGACACAGCGTTTTATTAATATATATAGTACTCGAGGTAACGTTTTTTGGTTCTCTGTGTGACACAGCGTTTTATTAATATATAGTACTCGAGGTAATGGTTTTTGGCTCTCTGTGTGACACAGCGTTTTATTAATATATAGGTAATGTTTTCTTGGTGGGTGTGTGTTTTTATATGGTTTTGTTACACAAGTAATGTATCATTTTTCTTGAGATGGTGCAGATAATCTTCTCTGGAGTTTCCTGCCTAACTGAAATGTAATTTAATTGGAACCGGTTTAATTTGTATCAGTCAAATGTTAGTTTTTGATGTGTGTGTGCTTTTTTTTCCCCCCCAGTTGTTTCTTTCTTAAATCCATTACTTTGACATCATAAAAATAAAGTGACAATATAGGCACCAAAACTGTAGCTTAATGAAGCCATTTTGGTGTATAGATCATGTTTATACAGCCCTGGTCACGTGCCCCTGCATGTGACTTGCACAGCCGTCCTAAACACCTCCTGTAAAGAGAGATCTAATGTTTAAACTTCCTTTACTGCACATTCTGTTTAATTTAGAATTTCTTCTCTCCATATCTGACAATAATCTGCTACAGCCTGCAGGAGCCTCCTGTCTGTGATTAAAGTTTTAATTTACAGAGCAGAAGATAAAAAGAATAAAACTCCTAAAGCGAAATATCTGATTAAAATGGAACCATTTTTTTTTTCATGCAGCTATCGGTGTGATCCAGTCTTGGGAGGTTTGGCCAGGGCTGTATAAACACAAAGAAAAGCTTTTTTTGTTTGTTTGTTTTTGTGTTTATCTCCTTAATGGCAGAGAATTGAGCAGGGACTGCAGGGAAATGATCAATACACCAAAACTGCTTCGTTAAACTAAAGTTGTTTTGGTGACTGTGGTATCCTTTTAATGGCATTTTGCTTATGCATTTATTATTTCAGGTCTATGATCCCAATCAATATTTAGCAGTTATCGGAAACATTTTACAATTGCAATTTTAAAGCTAAACATTTAAATGAACACTGCAATGTAATCAATTAACTATCAGAGCTCAAAATTTCCTCTAGCCATTGGCTAATGAAAATTCCACCATACGAGTAGAAATTCGGTGTGTTCGTGATTCTCCTGGCTTTTATGCTTATACTATCCCTTTAAAAAGTCACTGGTCACCTGGAATAAAATGTAACTTTTTAATGCATTTCTTCAATTCACAACTTTGGGTTTGTTTTTATATATATATTCATATAAACCGTGGTCGTTTTCCCCCTATAAAGCAGCTTAATATTAGATTTTTTTTTTTTTTTTTTATAGGTACCAATAACAATGAGGAGAAATCTGAGGTTCAGTCAATCATTGAATCAACACCAGAGCTGGACATGGATAAGGAACCCAAAGGATTTCAGTTTTCCAGGTACAAATTTTATTTGCTGAAACTTTGGGCCTTAAAGGGACACTATAGTCACCAGAACGACTACAGCTTAATGTAGTTGTTTTGGTGAGTATAGTCAGTCCCTGCAGATTTTTTTTTATTTTGTGTTTACATTAAAGACTGGGGACTCCTCCAGTGGACCCTCCTCCGGTGGCTGGAGGTGCTTCTTGGGGCAGTGGTAACACTATAGGGTCAGGAATACATGTTTGTGTTCCTCACCATATAGTGTTCCTTTAATTACTAAAACCACACATTGGTGCTAGGCTATTTTTGTGCACAGGAGGTCTGTCCGCATTATGGGCAAATGGTATAGGTTCTCTCTCCAATGACACTTGTGAGCAAAATGTATTTCAGACATTTTTAATTGTTCTCTACTCTGTTTTGGCTTAACCTCTACAACTGGCCCTCTGCATTCTGGTGTCAATGACTGAAATACTGAGCATATGCGTCTTAGAAGGAGCACAAGTGTTCTAATCCCAGTCGAGTCCTCTTAATAGGTTTTCTGATACCTGCCAACCCAGGACTCTTGTTTTAACTGTATACCTGATATTGTCAGCCAGTAAACACTGCTGGCCCCAGAACCAGGGCATCTTTGTTTGCCAGTTATATATACCTTACAACTCACATTTTTGTAGAAACTGAAGTGAAGTTAGAAAACCACTCAAAAGTTTTCCTCGTCCTCCGAATTATGCATGTATTTATTTTTCACCATTTTTTTCCCTCCACGTTCAGTACTCCAACAAAGGGCATTGAAAACAAAGGGTTTGATCGGAACACGGAATCCTTGTTTGAGGAGCTTTCATCAGCTGGAACAGACCTAATCGGGGACGTTGATGAAGGTGCAGATCTGTTAGGTAAGCTTTTTTATGTTGCTGGATTGGCTTCTGCTTTGTTAACCACAAAAAAAGAACCTATAAATTCTGCAGTAGATTTAAATGTAGATTAGAGCATAATGCGAAACTCTTAGTTCTTATAATCTGCTCCATGCACGAACAACTGAGAAATATGTATGAGGAAAGACCAGAAACCGAGATTCAGGGGCTTCTAATGGACACAGTAAGGGGAAATAAATAAAAGGTGATAGAACAATGCACATTTATTATGGGATGGAACGGCCTGTAAGGCTAGTGTTAACTGTAATATTTATATATAATAAAATATATCTCTTACAGGCATCTTAACAAGAAGCAATCTCTTCAATGTTTGCTGTTCCAAGCCATAAAACATTAACGGTTTCTCAGTTTTGTTTTTTTTCGAATAATCTTGTTTATTTCAGGAATGGGGCGAGAAGTTGAAAATCTTATCCTAGAGAACTCCCAGCTTCTAGAAACAAAGTACGTGGCTTTATGTATCTCATGTATGCTACAATTATTATATATATTTTTTTTTTTCTCACCATCTGATCCTTTCTTCCTACATTTTTATGCTCCGATTTCCATCAGTCCAGTAGTAACATTGCACAGTAGCTTGCTTTAAATCCGTTCTTGTTTTCCTTGATCTTTTTTGACCCAAACCCCTGTTTTCACTTCTTAATAAAGAGGCCTCTATAGTAGTTTGGGATGTTTGTTGAGATTTTGGTTTCATATACATTTTATTTTTCGGGGGGTCGGAGAGGGTTTATTCCTATTTGTGTACATTTTTAGTACATTTATTTTACTTACATTTTAAACTACTTTATTTTTCCCCATTGCCTAGAAATGCTCTAAATGTCGTGAAAAATGATTTGATCGCAAAGTTGGATGAGCTTGTGTGTGAGAAGCAGGTCTTGGAGGAAGAACTGTTGGTCATAAAGCAGTCGAAAAGCAAGCTTGAGGAAAGGAACAAGGAACTGGAGGAAGAGCTGAAGAAGTGGGTATTTCAGCTCTGCAGACAATCCAGGGCTTTATTTTGCATAATTATCGGCCAGCCTTTAGCCATCCACAATATATTTATTGAAGACTTACATTCTGTTTCTCCCGGACACTGGCAACCATTTCCCCCACCCCACACCCCTCTATTATTAAGATTAGCACCAGATAAGCCAGGAACACATATTACTATGTTATTAGATTATTAACCCCTTCAGTACCAAATAAAGGTATTCTTCCCCCCCCCCCCACACACACACACACATTTTCTTATATCTTGATCCTGTTTACACTTTGAAACCGTACAGTACAAAAGGGTTTAGTTGCATATGTGCTTTAACTCTTTCTAGGGCAAGGGCAGAGACTGAAGAAGCGCGGCAACGGGGCAAAGACGAGGAAGATGTGAGTCTACTAAAATGACGTTTTGTAATGCCTGTAATCTAATAAGGCCAGGGCTGTGTTATTTGATAAAATTATCTAACTGCACTTTGTATATTGTTAAAGAGCGATGTCCCTACTGCTCAGAGGAAAAGGTTTACCCGGGTAGAAATGGCTCGAGTGTTGATGGAGAGAAACCAATATAAGGAAAGATTGATGGAGCTCCAGGAAGCCGTGCGATGGACTGAAATGATAAGGTTTGTGATCACATATTTCCAGTTTCAGCGAACATTTCTTCTATACAAGTTTCTGAAGGGAACTAGAGCAAAATTATAAGGTTATTAATGTTTGAAAAATCAATTTTGTGACATTCACAGTATCTGTGAAAGTGTTTATCTTATCAGACGATTTTGTTTAAAATTAGACTCCATATTTTCCAATAGGTTAGGGAAGGATTTTTTTTTTTTTTTTTTAATTCTTTATTTTATTTGTGCACGAGATAACATAAAAGCTGACGATGCCACAACAGCATAGTACAAGCCCATTAAAGAAAGGTATTTCACACAGATGGCATTGAATTATTGGCACATTTTTATTTTGTATTTGTAAGAGGATAAACAAGCTAGGTACACACATCTAATTGTAAGTCACCAGAGTGACAAGCAGTAACATCAGTATGCATTATAAGAGTAACTGTGATGCAACTTAATGTTGCGTATGATCTGGCAGCATGACTAGTCTGGATAATGCTATACAGTTAACTGTTCTAAGATAGGCTAATCGAACTGTCAATGCTTCCGGTATTCAAGCGGCAAAACAGTCATATAACACATTTAAACAAAACTTTGCGTTAGAGGGCCTGTGTGTACAATTTTATAGTAAGTAGATAAACATGCAGGAAAATTCAAAATATGTTAAGTAGGAATTGGTGAGACTCATTCACATATGTGTAGATCATGCTAGACTTGCGGACGCTGATTTAATCACATAACATGCTGGCTAGGAGTATAATAACAGGTTAGGTACGCAGTCACAGGTTATGTAGATAGATAAAAACAGGCTATTAGCAGGTTTAATACCTGACTCACTGATGTGTTTGTTAGCCTGAGCGAGTTCAGTGGAGCTAGTGTCTAGTTGTATAGGCTATGCTAGGCTCTCTATTGCTGCCTGGGGTTGTGTAACATGCTGGCTGGAATCGTATAACATGCTAGCTGGAGTCATATAACGCTTTCTTTTGTAATATAGCCTGTATTGGCATAGGCAGGCAACTAAGGACGCCTAAACATAAAAAAGAAAAAACAAAAACAAAGTTTAAGCACATAGTCAACAGCTTTGTTTGTCTGGGTACAGACGGGTTAAGCTGTTGTTGCATGTCCTAGCGGGTGGCATGGGTACCGTGCTCAGGAACAATTGGCACTGTCAGCCAATGCCTCAGCTTTGTGTTGCCACATAGTCACTGGTAGCTGCTGGGTAATAGATCATCCGATGCCCTGTCTGGAGGCTGTGAGTGCAGGTGTGGGATGGATGTCAGTGAGCCCCCCCCCGTCCGTGCCTCGGGACCCTTTGTGTTCACATGGGCTTCTCTGTGTATTCCAGGTGGGGCACCCTTCCTGCCCTGAGACTCTGTGAGAGCCGGTACCACCATTTCACAGACCCGTCGCCGTTTTGGGGCCTGGTCCTTCCCCGGTGTGGGGCTGCATGACCCCCACCGGTCCATAGCAGGGGGAACGTGGACCCTGGTACAGAAGCTCAGTCGGTCGTGGCGGCAGAGGAGCGGCTGTCTCCCCTGCACTCGCCATGCTTGTAGGCCTCAGACTCCTATCAGGCAAATGTTGCTCCAAACGGCTTTTAAGTGGTATCAATTCGTGCTGCTGGTTATCACCTTTTGTTTGGTGACTGTCTCGCTTCAATAAATTGTCGTTTGGGCAATGAAAGTTCACTTTAATCGTTGCCTGCAGCAGGAGCTGTTGAGGTTTGCTTCCTCTCATCTCTGCGGTCAGGCTCCGTCCCTCCGGGAAGGATTTTTTTAATTGGGTGGGGGAACAGTTTAAATGTCCTTCAGAGTTATCCCCAAACCTGCTCTGAAGAACATGTGATATTCCATCTAGTTGGGGTGTATATTTTTGAGAAGCCAAAGTGAATTTCAATTTTTAAACCGTTAACAGCCAGATTAGTAAACTCAGAGATGGTTTTGATTCAAACAAATTTTTTTGAAAAATATTACATTTTAGACTACAACAGCTGATGTTAATACGGTGTGGAAAATGGTACTGTATTGCTGTTTGATACAAGCATACATATTCGATTTATAATGTTAATACTCATCAGTTTTCTGTGGTTTTTTTAAGTCTAAGTATGTGTTAACTTTTAAAGCACTTTGTATTTGCAAACCTCAAAGCCTAATATCTCAGCAGTACAATTAAAAAAAGTTTAAGTATATCTGTTACCAATGCATCTCCTACAGGCTTTCTAGTCATCCTTTGTATGTCATGTAGACATGGAAAGGGTTATTCACTAAACTGTGACAATATTGAAATTTCACTATGAAAATGTACATTTTTGGACAAAATAGTCAAATAGGATAAATTCTCCAGCTCAACTTTGCTTAGATTTGGGGTTTTTTGGCCAAAAAATGTATAATTCTGCTGTCAATTCCTTTTTGGAATATGAAATAAAAGGAAAAAAATAACATAAGGTTTGTTTGGCTTTTTTATTTTTTATTTATTTTTTTACATTGGTTTTATTTTGCTTTATTTTTATTCATCTAGTTATTTCATTTAAATGTTTTGGTTTACATTCCAGAGCATCGAGGGAGAACCCAGCCATGCAGGAGAAGAAGAGATCGAGTATCTGGCAATTGTGAGTGTGAAAGTTAAACGTTGTATAAAACCAGATTTGTGGAGCGAGAATGTAGTACGTTTGATTAAAGTAATGATTTCATCGTGGTCACCGTTCTCCCCGCAGGATCACAGAAACCATTCACTTCATGCAGCCCCTGTGCCACTGTATGCTCCTGCTTATATATTCACTTGTTACACTTTGCCCCTGCAATGCATTTTATACAGAATTGCCCTTTGCCTCTTAACATTATTACCACAAATTTTCCCAGGCCTAGTACATAGTGTTAGATTGTGGAAAGTGTTCATGAGCTTGTTTAGATAAAAAGTCACTCTTTACCATTCTGTTAATAGATCTAACATAATGCTTGGTTTGTTGTGAATCCTGGGAGATGCAGCAGGTTTGAACTCCTGAAGTTCGCTACTATTTATACAATTTGCTGTTTAAGATTTTTTTGTTTCTCCATTTATTTATTTTCGATTTTGTTTTCAGTTTTAGTCGATTGTTCAGTTCGTCCGGCACGGCTTCCAAGAAGCCTGATCTTCCTGTTAACGTGAAGTACAATGCACCCACCTCACATATCACGCCATCTGTCAAGAAGAAGAGCAGTGCCTTATCTAAACTTCCCAGCGACAAATCGAAAGCGTTCGACTTCCTTGATGAGTGCGTTTGTATAAAATCTTTCCTCTTTAGTGCATGTGATTTATTAAAGCGGGTCTGGCACTGGGGTGGGGGGAGAGAGTTGACATCAATCATACCAGCATATAATTATAGTGTTATTTGTTGTTGTTTTTTTTTTTGTAACAGTTGTAATTGTTTGCAGCACCATTCATTACCTGTTTGTGCTTACATTTTCTGTCTTTTGAGCTTAGGACACCCCTAGCCTACCCCAGCATGCACCTGGCTGCTCCTGCTATTTAGTTCATGCTCCATCTGCATTCTAAATGGTGCAAAAAATTATGAATTATAACTTTTAAAATCACAGTCAATATAGAGTCAGGCAATTTACGTCCCACTGTAGTACTGTGCCACCAGTAACGTCACACGTAGTAGTAATTGTTTTTCTACTGTGAAAACTGACACCATTATGATTATTCAATAATCAGAACTGATGCCTCTACAAACTCCCGGCGAGAACAGAAACGAGAGCAGTACCGTCAAGTGAAAGCACACGTGCAGAAAGAAGATGGACGGGTTCAAGCCTTTGGCTGGAGTCTTCCTCAGAAGTATAAACCGGTAATATATATATTGCGTCACCCGCTATCGTTTTACTGCACTACAGGCTACAATTCTTTGAAGATTAAACATCATCAACACTTTAAAACATATTTTAAGCCTCGTAGTACTTTCATTCATTTCTCAAATACGTTGTGTTCAGCCATTCAGCACCCTCTCGTTACAGTGGAAGCTGTAAATTGCTTTCTGGTTTGCTGCTGTGTTGCGCTCCTCTCCGTTGTGCTTGTCGTTACTGAACGTTGGATTTTAAAGATTTTAGGAGACCGTTTAAGTTTTATATCACATGTTTCTAAGCACAGATATGTTAAGTAAAATGATGTGAAATTATTTATGGCCACATTGGCGCAAACATTGTTATATATACTTTTGTCTTTAAGAATCCTGCAGGACATGCATGTTCATGTTTTGATATTAAGTAATAGAAGTAGTTTTTAAATTGTATTTATTTTATTAATTTTCTAGTTGGCGAATGGAGGTCAGAGTGAGAATAAAATGAAAAACCTCCCGGTTCCAGTTTATTTAAGACCATTGGACGAAAAGGATAGCTCAATGAAGGTAATGAATGTACAAATAACAGGCCTTGATTCCATTCTATCTTCAAGAAACCATAAGCAGTTCTGTTGCTCGAGTAGTATTGTCCAATAAATGTGCATTCTAAGCATATTAGTACAAGGGAGGTTGTAAACCTCCACGACTAGTGCAAAAAAAACTGTCGAGCCCCACTTCATGTCAGAAAACAATTGAAGCTACAAAATGTGTTGACATTTTCTGAATTGGAACAGTAACACTGCTATTTTTCACAGCTGTGGTGTGCGGTTGGTGTTAACCTATCTGGTGGAAAGACCAGAGATGGCGGTTCAATTATCGGAGCCAGTGTGTTTTACAGTGATGTATCAGGGTCGGAAATGGAAAGCCATAAACTGCGCAGCGAATCGCAGAGCAGTTTAGAGAAACTTGAACAGGAACTCAAAGTAAGACACCCAGTTTAGTTTGTAACTGCATAAAACTTCTATTTTAGAGTTTTTAATGTGATTCTTAACTTTTGTTTCTTTTTTTTCCTCTGGAGGTGCAACAGAAAGAGCTCAGACACCAGGATGAATTATCAAGCCTTGTGTGGATTTGCACGAGCACGCACTCGTCCACTAAAGTCATCATTGTAGATGCCAACAATCCGGGCAATATGTTAGATAGCTTCACCGTATGCAACTCCCATGTTCTGTGTATAGCGAGTATTCCAGGTATGATACTCATTTTATCCATCGTGGCTTGCTACTCTTTGTATACAGAAATATTTTCTGTTGGAAGTTGCAGAATCATATTTTTAAAGTCAGTTTTTGGTATTACAGTAAATCTTTTATTTGGAGCTGAGTGAGTAATTGAATGAAAATTTGGAAAGCTGTTATATTAAAAGAATTTGCTTCTTACATTTAATGTCATGGAAACTAGAATTTTATATAGCTATGAATGTTGATGTATTTATATTTATTGTTCATATTGGATTATGGAATGTTACTTTTCTGATTCACCTTAAAAATGCCAATTTTATGCATTATTTAATTTATGGCTGATGGAATATTAAAAGCTATTTGTTCTGTATAACAGGGGCTATGGAAACAGATTACCCTTCAGGAGACACCACCAAAACTGACTCTGAATCCTGCCCAGCAGATAAATCTTCCTTATCTGAGAGTCTCCAGAGCAGCGGCTCTTCTGGAACGGACAATGTTGCTGTAGGAGTAAAAGTGTCCTCTGGAGATGATGCAGAAATTTCTGTAACACAGGTCCCAAATATTGTTTCTCCAGAGACTGAAACTAGTTCAGTTGTAGGTATGTACATGTGTCTTTGTGTATATTTTAACTGTACAGACAGACAGGCGTACAGAAATGCAATATTTGAACTTCCTGGCATTGCCAAATAACCAATGAAAAAACAGATTAGCTAGAAATGTTGTTTTATTAAACAGTCTTTTAAAAAAAAGAACAGAATGCTAGACAGATTAAAAGAAAAAGCACTCCAGGTTGCACAAGTGCTTGTGTGTAGAGTGTGTCCTCTGTTTCATTGTTTTCAATAGAAATCTGCACTTTTTTAAATAAACACTAAATCTCAGCACCCTATATCTCAGACAGTTAGGCGGTGTTACTTTATTGGGTAAACGCAAAAGCAGGTGCTTGAACAAAGGGATTGTCTTTGAAAGAAGTCTGTGATTGGACAGCTGTGTGCACGAACAACTGGTCTTCAAGACCTCTCTATATAAGAAGCTTCAGGTTATTCCCTGGTTTAGACACTAAAGTCAAGCTTTCTCATCTGCAGACGCTAGATATTGCAAGCTAAGATTTCATATACCCAAACCCCGAGAAAACTTGCAAAATAAATTGCATGCATACTTTCATTGGGGTGTATCTACTAAACTTTACAAACTGTTTTTTTAGTAATGTATAGATCGTGCTATGTGCAGACATTTCATGGTTTCTGATTACCAGATCCCAACACCGCAAATAGTGAACTGGATGACAATGTACTGACAGCAGAGGAGGCAACGGAAGCCACAGAGGTTGGAGTTGGTTCGTCAGATGATGTTGCTGACATTTCTCAAACCGGAATCTATACAGAACATGTCTTCACAGACCCTCTGGGTGTCCAGAACACTTCGGAAGACACGTCAGGATGCCCGCTGAGGTTAGTTTTACCATCGATAAGTAGAACCACACAGTCTACATTTTATGCTAGTAAATTATTGCTATGTGTTTTTATCATTGGGTTACTTTGTTGCTACTATTTTGTTTGATCACAGCGATGACAGCGACTTGTATAAAGATGGTGTTGCCACTTTACCCACTGACCAAGACCTGATGAGAGAAGAGGCGCAAAAAATGAACAGCTTGTTACCCACAATGTGGCTCGGAGCACAGAATGGACAGTAAGTTCCTAAGACCATTGTTTGCATGGTCGTGAAAATATATATTTTTTTCCAAGGTTTCTCTGCAACCAGCTGCCAGCTTGCTGATATTTTCATCTGAATTCTAGATGTGGATCAGGTAGATTGCTAAATGTGCTAAATGTGGATCAGGTAGATTGCAGCCTTCCTGAAATGGAATTTCCACCTACCTCAGATAACTTAACCAAGTAGCAAATATCGGAGAAGAGCGAGGAAGGAGAGGGTGCTTTGTGTCGCCCCCAGCACTTTACTAATTCAAGGCACCTGTAAAAGCATTTAGTTTAGTGTAAGGCCTTAAAGTGTACTACTCCTCTGTCCAAATTCTGTTGCCACAGCTGTTGGATTTCTTTAAAGTGTGCCAGTCATGCAAAAAGAATGTGTTATTCCTTTAGAGAGAATGAAATCTAACATCCAGGATAAATACTGGTGTCTGAATAAAGGTGGTGGGGAGAGGGGGTAATACAATCCTGAAGTGTGTCACCTCCCACAGTCCCTGATATACAAGTCTTCACACTAGATCCATTACCTTTCTTTTCTCTTATCTTGTCTTTATCGGCTAATGAGATAAAACTGAGGTAAAACGGTTTCTAACTAGCCGTGTTTTCCTTATTTGCAGCCTTTATGTTCATTCTTCTGTTGCTCAGTGGAAGAAATGTCTCCTCACTATAAAACTGAAGGATTCGATTCTCAGCATTGTGTAAGTTACATCAGTTCTATACACTTGCAGTTTCCATTTACTGTTTTGTGTGATGTCTACAATAGAAAGGAAAAAATACAAAGACTCCATTGTCTTTTGAGAAAAATATTTACCTGTGGTTTGGACTACATGCTTTTACCGTTAATTGGTATTATGTGACGTTTAGTATTGCGTATCTCCTCTAAGCATGCAACTTAAAGACAAATATTAAATTATATATATATTTTTATTTATAACTTGGCTACATATAAAGTAAGGATACGAGTATTTCTTAGCCGTTCTAAATCGGGTGTTTTTGTGGTTCAATACACGTGTTGCCAAATGGCTAGTCCTATATTTTTGCCACACTACCAATATTTAAAAAAGTGTCAGAGGGGCTATTTATGGAAAGCCTGATTTCTCAATTCTCCTGACCTTCCAATGTTTCTTTTCTACACTTTTTTAATATATATTTTTCCCAACACAATATTAAGACTATGTGATACTGTTTAATTCATGCTATTTGTGGTTTTGTATTACAATATATTCTTAATAGTAAAGTATTTGTAGCCTTATGACCATTTTTATTTTATTTTTTTAGGACCGGATGTAAAAATTCTCATTATCTGTTTGTTTTGTTTTCTCTTGCCTTTTCAGCCACGTGAAGGGGATCGTTCTAGTTGCTTTAGCCGATGGGACCTTGGCAATATTCCATAGAGCGGTCGGTATGTATCCTGTGCTGTTAATAATAGATCTTAACCGTCATGATGCTGTCTGTTCATTTTTGAAAAGATGTTATTTTTTTTATGAACATGAATATTAGGTCTGTTTCTTTTATTATAGCACCTGCTTATTCAAATATTGTTTTGGGGGTCTCCACTAGACTAGGAATTGTGAAAAATGAACAAGGAATGTTTATGCTACATTAGCAAAGTTGCAAAGTAGCCAACTTGCAAAGATTCTCCAATTCAGCTATTTTCACTTAAAAGTGGTAAATCTTGTGAATAATCTAGTTTTGATTAACCATGGCAGAGGTGTGTGCTGTATGTTCAGCAATGTGTTCTCGATCAGTTGCTCGTAGTTTTAAATGGTTAAGGGAACTTTTCTGGTTATCCTCTCTCTATTGTTTTATGTACTCTCACACTATGCTACCTCTTCTGACACAATAGGCACCAAAACAACTTTAGCTTAATGAAGCCATTTCGGTGCATAGATCATCCCCCTGAAGTCTCACTGTTCAATTATTCCGAGGCACTCCTGGCACCATAACCACTACGGTGCTTACTGTTTTTCAATTGATTCCCATTAAGCAATGTTTATTATTCTCACCTGTAATTCAGAACCTGCTGTTTTTCAGACGGGCAGTGGGATCTGTCGAATTATCACCTGCTTGATTTTGGCCGTCCCCACCACTCTATCCGATGCATGACTGTTGTCCACGAAAAGGTCTGGTGCGGATACAGAAACAAAATTTATATTGTGCATCCAAAAACAATGAAAATCGAGGTGAGGATTTTATATTTGGGCTAATATGAGGATTTTAGATTTTGACTCATCATGCCCTGTTCCCCTCTTAATGTAGTTTAATGTCCTTCCCCTTCAAAGGGTTTTTATTTTTTTTTTAATGACGTACATTACTCAGCTGGTTCTCTAAATGAGCATTTTGGTATTTATAATATTTTTCTTTTATGTTTTTATTTTGTGCCTCCTCAGAAATCCTTTGATGCACATCCAAGGAAAGAAAGTCAAGTCAGGCAATTGGCATGGGTTGGAGATGGAGTCTGGGTTTCTATTCGATTGGATTCCACACTCCGTCTGTACCACGCACACACTTATCAACATTTACAAGATGTGGACATTGAACCATATGTTAGTAAAATGCTGGGTGAGTTAACCCATAACCATAAATTATACATAGAAGTCCTTGGGTGGGTGAGACATTATTGCAATATGATAAGGCCTTGCCTCGCTGAGATTCTGATAACATGGTGTACTATTAATCAATATGGCTCCAATTAGCAGCCAGCTGGCTTTGCTCTATACTACCACTCCATAGCAAAATATGGTGTTTAGAGTTACTCTTATTTGCTGCCATAACTCTGTAGTGTTCACTTATATTTTCCATAGCTTACCAACGAGACTGAAGAAAAATTGACCGTCATTATTCATGTGATTTGTTTTTTAAATAAATCTTAATTCTTTAATGTATTGTGTCTATAAAAGTGTAACAAATTTCATAGTGAGCAAAAAAACAAGTTCACCCCTTGCGCATGGTGCCTAGAGAGATATCTGCTATACGTCACTGACGATGCCTAACAAGGTTGAAACGATCGTCTGGGGTTGCTGTATCTCTCGTTTTGGATCTGTTCTGCCTATTTTGGTGGAATCAGTCTGAGATGCGAACGGCCTGACTGTTTTTGAAATGGCATAAGATGAGCTAAAACCAGCTTGAGAACTGAGCTCCACCGAAGGGCAGGCTAATTGAGTTGTTGTCCATTTTCAGCACTTTCTTGCAACTTGTCTTTTGCTCTCCTTAAATTTCATGTGAAATATAAAACTGTGACACACATTCTCTATAACTCCGTTCTTGCTATTGATAAGCAATGAATGTGGCATAGCGATTAATACACCTTGCTAAGAGACACTAGCAAAGGCTTTCTCTTGATGCACTTATGATTTATTTTGTAAGTAACATTTTGGTTCTTTATTGCTGCTGTAATTAAACAGTGCATTCTGCTATTCAGCTCTGTGTTTGTTGGCAAAAATTATCAAAAATCTGGTATGGATATGGAAGACTAGGAACCAGGAGCATGTACGGTGATTTCACCTTGCAAACATGGTTTGTAACCCGCTGGATTCGCAGAATTACAATCTGTTCACAGTGTTTGTGAAGCATTGTTTTCATGTTTATGATAACTCTGATTTATTGATGATTTTATCTTTTCATATTAGGAACTGGGAAGCTTGGGTTCTCGTTTGTGAGAATAACCGCTCTTATGGTATCATGTAATCGACTTTGGGTCGGGACAGGGAATGGAGTGATTATTTCAATCCCTCTGACAGAAAGTAAGTAGCATTATATCTTTACATAAAACTGTTATGAAATTTTCAGAAAAAGCAAGTTTGTATTTATTGTGTTTTGTGTTTTTTTTTTTAAATTAAAATGTATTTCTTGCTTAATGAACCACAATCATCTGAAGTAATGAACTTTTTATCCAAGCTGTCTTTATCATGAAGGGCCTCAATCCATAATGTATGACTCCCTGTATACAAACCGCATTGGGGGTATTGGGGCAGAGGTAAGGGGTTATAGGGCAAGCAGAATAGGATAGTATTCAATCCCTTAGATTTTAATCATTCATGTGAGAATACCCACCACTCAATTTGTCAGAGATTTAAGAGATTTAATCTAAGCAGAGAGTTGAGTGGTTAGTGCTCCAGATGTACTGCCTCAGGGTGCCAGTTAGATTCCCCAGCAAGGTAGTCTACTTATTTGTGTCTTTCTGAGGCCCATTATGTTGGGTAATGACCTTAAATCCACAGGGAGTACTAAGCTGCAAAAGCTAAAGATATATATATATATATTTTATTTTTTTTAGGATCTCCAATTAAACCTATAATAAGCCCTTTTCCTTGGCTCTCCCATCTCAAATATTTTTAGTCCTTCTCTATCCCTGCAAATATTACCTAAACCTCTTGATTTCACTTGGATCCTATCTTACATGAAATCTAACTGTTCTGTTGAGGGTTTTTTGCATGATTTATTTCACATAGGGATGTGTAAAATGGTTGAACTTGATGGGTTTATGTTCAGCCTAGATTGCTTGTACCAACAATACTTAGTAACAGGTTTTTGGAGGGTGTATGATAATAAAAAAAAGCCCACTGTAAGTTAGAATGTTAGGTACTTTCAATAGCGGGTTCTCATTAATCCTTCACTGTTCCCCCTGTCCATTATTCCCCTTACTGTCTTACTGTAGCCATAATACTGCACCAGGGCCGGTTACTTGGGTTGCGGGGTAAGTCTACATGCTAAACGAAATTACTACGGCTTTCAGTAGCCACTTTGGCTGCGTAGACTCACATCTTGTATGTTCCTGAGTGTCTCTCCCTGAAGTTCTTGCAGTAGTTTTTATGTTTACTAAAAGATGACCAGTCTGCTCGGCAATGATAGCGTAACCTCATGTTTTGCAGCTAATCTTATTTTTATAATCTTTCGCTCCACTCTTTTACTACGTGAAACCATTTATCTCTGAAGCTCTTCATCTTTGCACCCCACTGTCACCCCTTTCTTTGTAAAGACCTTCTCGTGTTATTGGATGTGTCCTGTAAATCTAGCATAGATGTTAAAGATTAGGTTGCTCCCATTTATTCAAACTCTTTGGAGCATAAGATCTGTTCTTAACTCCACACGAGTGGCACAGATCTCCTACTGCACTTCGGTTTATTACCAATAGAAGGCACTGCTATATTATGTCACATCCATGCAAAGTGGGTGTATTGGGAAATAGATCTGTGCTGCCAGTGGAAAGAGCTTTTCTCATCCTTCCCTCCACCACTTGATTAGTCCAGTGTGTCTGTGATAGCTCACGCAAGTGTCTTCTAATGAAAAGTAAGTCTGCAACAGCAAGCTTAAAATGATCAAGTGATGCTTTCCACCAGTATACCTGGTAGGCTCCTTCTTGGTGTCTTTTTCAGCCTGTGAGGTAGGGTTGATGGTCCGTTGACCAGAAGGTAGATTAGCAGAAATGGGTGTTTGCACAATGAAAGACAGGAAGTTCTGTTTTTTTTTTGTTGTTGTTTTTTTGGAGATTGATTTTCAGAAACTGGTAGTCATATGGTTAAAGGTGGAGTACAAGACTGTTGGACATGTGTCCAGAATTTAGGGAAATATCCGTGTGGGTGTCAGTAGCAGAAAAATGATCATGGTCATACCTGGGCTACTCAGAAAACATAAAAACATTCAAAAAGTGGTTCTTGGATTCCCATCATGTTTTTCGTGATAAAAAGGTCTTTTTGAGACCCATACAACCAGCAATTCATGGGTGGGAGTTATACAGCAATTTCTGGAAGGCAATTTTTTACTGTACACCAGTAGAACAGCACTGAACCATAACTTTCGGAAACTAAAAGTTGAACTATTCCATTTTAACTTCTGCACATGTGCTTGTATGGCATTTTGCCTTAATGTCCACATAAGCACACCAGAGGCTTTATGGAGAGACAATTGTCCCTGCAGGAGAAGGAGACTGCTGCTACGTTCACCGTCGTAAACACTGCAAGAGCATAAATTCTTGGCTCCAGTGAAGTACGTTCCCTGTTCACTTTTTAAGGAAAAAAAGCTAAAATTGCTGGCCTTTCTGTTTAAACTGGAGGTTTTAACATCCCCTCCCAATTAATTAATTCTCTCGGGCTGGGTTGTTCTCCAGTGGAACTTTTGTTATAATTTATGTTGTGCCTATTCATTTCACAGTGCTCTGTGAGTATTTTAAGATTAATGCAATGGTCAATGACTTCATTACTTGCACATTATGTTGCTATTTATTTTCTGTGTATTACATGTGAAAACATCAATTAGTTTAAAATGGGTTTGGGCCTACCAAGTATGCTGGTTAAGTGAATCTCATTTGGACACATTAAGCTTGATTTTGGTTGTCTTTATTTCTTTATTTTCCTCCCCCACACCACCTCTAGGTATAGATAGAGCTATAGTGGGTACAGATCTGGGTGCCTGGCCACAACTGCACCAAGCACGATGCCCATCCACAGGCAGTGATAATATCTCTATTTTATGTTGGTGAGTGTAGCAATGCCTATTATTAGGAAAGTGAACGTGAGCCAGCATTTGGCATCTTCGGGTGTCTCATCCAAATGTCACTGGTCCTTTTGAAAACGAAACCCTATCAGTGTTTAGAAATATGCATATTTATTTAAAACATTGTTTTACAGACAGCTATTTTTCCCACAACTGGGAGATGTAGGGACCAAAAAAAAAAAAATGCTATATCTGTTTTTTACCAAAGCTTTTTGGATGCACTGGTAGTTCCTTTTTGGTGAGCTCAGAAGAGGAGCTTGCTTTTAAAGCCTCTGAAAATGTATTTTATGTTCTGTATTTCAGAGTAGTCAGGAGAGAATTCTTGACTGGAAACCTACTTTGATCAACTAATTGTGTTTTGCAAGGTCCAGACTAGAAGCAGTGCTCTCTTGTTGTACCAGACTCTCTTGAGTCAAACCCTTTGTTTATAAACATAAAGTGGGTCTGCTGATCAACTGAACAAAGTCCCTTAATTTTGCTGATGCTGTGAGATAACTCTTTAAAAACGGAAACAATATTGGGCTTCTTTATTTTTTAATTTTTTTTTAAACCTGTTTTCATTGAAATGGTTTGGTTTTCTCTCTAGCTCTGAAGCCAAGCTCTGTGAGTTTGTTACAGTATCTGTCTGTATATAATGATCTTTAAGAAACCAGTTACAGACACTGGCACATATTATGCAAGTCTAAAAGAGCGTAACCTTGGAGATAAAAGGTGAGTTTTTTTTTTCTTGGAAGAGATCATTGAGCAATGTTCTAAACAAGATTAGAGATGCACACAAGGTTCAAGGTTCTTGTGTTGAGTGAGTTAGTCTTGTGCTAGATAAACAAAAGGCACAATCCATGACCTCCCTCCTCTAGATACTAAGCATGCTGGTCTGTTACTAGAATCTCAAGCTTATTCTAGAGATCCCACGCTGTTCCCGCACTGGCTTTGGCTTTTAGATGACACCACCAAATGTTTTTGTAGATATGCCTGCTTGATCCAGATACTCTGCCACTAAAATGAATTTCTCCTGCTGTCTTCCTGTGTAAAGCTAACAAAACGTTGCCAGGTAGCGGGAGTCGTCCAGGGAGCGTCATAAGGGTATATGGCGATGAGAACAGCGACAAAGTAACACCAGGCACTTTCATACCGTATTGTTCAATGGCTCATGCACAGCTTTGTTTCCACGGACATCGAGATGCTGTCAAGTTTTTTGTGGCAGTACCAGGTAAGCTTTTATATGTAAATATTTTTCCTGGCCTTAGCCTCTGCAGGAATTGGGAATTTAATTGGTTTACCACTAGAGGGAGACAAATTCTTGCATCAAACTTTATTTTACTATATTTAAGGAGGCGTTTCTGTGACCACTATGAACTTAACTTTTATTCTAGTTAGTTGGCAGGTTGGGCTTCATCATGATGCGACAGATAGGATGGAGCTGGATTTCTCTGGATCTGTAAATCTTCTGGGAAATTTTACAGATCCAGGTTTTAGATCGTATTTTATACCATACATTGAGCATGGACACTTTGTGGGCAATTGTTTATTTTGGGGTTTGTTGTACACAAAATGAATGGCATTGCAGTGATTACAGAATAGTACTGGCGTCTCGATGCTTTGGCATCATTCCAAAATCAAAGCGGAATATTGCAGTTTACCTGTTCATTATTTTCTTTTTCCTGAGATTTCTGTTAACCTGGATTACTGTATAATGACTAATGAGTTCTAACCAGCTTTTTGTCTTGTTTTGCAGGGCAGGTTATTTCTTCATCCGGTGAGATTAATCCTGAAATTTTGGGAGAAAAAGGGGCCTCCTCTCAGCAAGACCTCTCTAGTCCCAGCCAGAAGTCCATGCTGGTGATGAGTGGAGGGGAAGGGTACATCGATTTCAGAATGGGTAGCTACATATTTTGTTTTTAAATATAATTTATTTTATAAAGTGTTTACAAATATATATATTTCACTAAAAAGGTTAAAACCAAATACAAGAAAAATAAATATGATAAAAAGACTTGATTGAAAGAATGTGTCAAGAAAATCAATATGTCATTCACAAATCTCCCCAAACTAGAGTGGGTTCTCAGCACTTATTTCACCTTACAGTCCCATAACTAAACTCAAATTAAATAAGCGAGGGTCTCCTCAGATCTCGAGTTTGAACAATTTTTTTTGTTTGTTTTTGTTTTTTTAATTTTTTTTATTTGTATTAGGAGCTCTGGCAGCTTGTGAGGACTGCAATATATAATATTGGTCCTCAGGTGGTTAAATATGCCAAGATCAACTTAAAATAACTAAAATATAATCGTGTGTATCCTTCTACTTAATGGTATTTTATTTCTATTTTTCTTTCTTCTTCCCTACAGGGGATGACTGTGGTGAATCAGAACCTTTAGATGACTCATTACAATTTGAACCATCTGTGACCAAAGTTGAAAGGAGTCACCTTATTGTTTGGCAGGTCATGGGCAGCAGTGAGTGAAAAAAAGGATGACACTCTCGAAATACTCTGCATGATTTTATTTTTTATTATATATATTTTTTTTGTACTCTTTAATCAGACATTTTAACATTTCGACTCTGTGTCAACCACATGATTCATGCAATCTTGTTGGAAGCCATCATTCGGCCATAAGACGGCATGTCGCTATCCCGTGAGTTTTCATCCACCACTCTCTAGTCGACACACCTGCTAACACTCGTTCCTATTCGCACAGCAGTAAATGGGACTCACTGACTCCTCGTCTTTTAACCTTTTCAGCTCATGTAAAATAACTGCTGGTTGTTCAAATGGTTATATAAACTAATGATTGTTTTTCTTAAAGCAACCAAGCGAGCGTTTAAAGTCTGTAAGTTTCTTTGCTGAACATGCAGAACAGCTGCAAATTTGAAACGAAAATTTGGATTTGAGAGGCATGTAACTTTGTTTTATATTCCGTTGGCTGGTCCTTTTTGCACATAAACAAGTAGGGAGTGATACTTTTATGTTAACCTAATGGATAAAAAAGAAACAAAAAAATCTTTGGTCAAATTTTTGCTGACAATTTCAATGTTCCTTTCTCTATACGAAATCAGTAATTGGAAAGAGAGGCACTCCATTTTAAAGGCAGGTGTAATGGCGGGTGCAATTGGCTTGAAGATCTGTTACTGTGTCTACATCAAAGAAATAGGTTGGCCCAGCATGTCTTATAAATCCAGGTTTCAATTAGTGAACTATTTAAAAAAAAAAAAAAAACAACTTTATTATAACCAATTCCTATAAAATACAAAGGAATACTGCAGAGTATAAGGAGGAGTACTGGTCTTGTGCATGTTTTATATATGTGCTGACTTAGAGATGCAAGCAAAGTAACATATATCTGGTAAATTTGAATCCATGCTGGGGGAGGCAGAATCTGCCGATCCAAATGATGTGGTTTGAGAGAGAGCATTTAAATGGTAGATAGTATTACCTATCTTTTATCTTTGCGTTCCACGGTTATTTAAAGAGCAACAGATGAAATATTGTGCTGATCAAAGACGTTCCAAACATTCTACAAATAACTTTTCTTTTGCTACTGCAAAAAAATCTATTTCAAAAAAGCACTGAACGACCGATCTTAGAGCATTGCTTTGTAGACACACATGCTCTGTTTTACTCAGAATTGATGGGGATTGTAAAGGGATATTGTTTCAGAATTCCATTTTATTCTGCTAATAGTCTCTATTCATTGGGCGAAAGGGTCAACACATGTTTATATTAGCAGGTAATTAAAAAAAAAAAATCATTATCTAGTTGGTTTTTGACTGATAGGGTAGCATCATATGAGTCTGTGCACCTAATAGACATAGCTTGCAGTCTGTCAGGAGAGTAACCTTTTTGAGTAAATGGCTCCGGATGTTGGATCAGATGCAGGTATGTTCACAAGCTGTGGCTACACACCGTCCAGTGCTGGAAATGGATACGAGGTAATGACCGACTCCATTTAATTAGATCTAATATCGTTTTTTTGTTTTTTTTTAATACAAACAGGTTATCTAACTACAGTAATAGAGAAAGTGTTATACTAACCGCTCTCTGTTGGGTAAGTGATGGTAAAAACCCAAAACACACTGCATTTTTCTTAAACCTCCTTTTAAAATAACTTTTGATTCTATAAAAGCAACATAATTAACATTTAAATGTCAGTGGTTCTTTTAAATATATCACCTCTATATAACGCAGTTTAAAAAAATTTATATATATATTTTTATGCTCCAGGATGAGTTCAATTGATAAAATACAAAGTGTTTTTTTCCTCTTTCTTTCTTAAATGAACGTTAAACAATAGTGCCCCAAACTTAAGAAGTTTTATTTAAAACCGTTTTGAATTTGATTGCTGTGTTGGTAACTAAATTAATATTTTCTGATGTATTCAACTGCTTGTTCTCAGAACAAAATAGACTTTATGTCGCTAAAGTTTTACAAACTTTCATGGGTAGGACATTGTTGTAGTATAATTTTAGAGCACTTTATAAAAAAGCAGGGCTTAAGTGATTTACAGAAGAAAAAAAAATCTAATATATAATCTGTTAGTAGATGGGCAGTGACAGTCTGGATATCACAGCATGTGAAGAAAAGCTAAATATGCTCAATGTAGACATGGAAAAAACACAGTTCACTTATACCTCTATTTTCATCTAGGTTTTAAACATTATTAATATTGTGTTTTATACCAGTTCTAAAATGAAGTTCTTAAACACAGTGTTTTTAAATAATGTAACTAAAGTTTAAGGTTGATCTTTACATTTAATTTACTTTTTTTGTGAACCTTTCTTTATATTTCTTGTATCTTCCAGGCAGAATGTGTTTAAGATGTAATATATTTAAAAGTGTATTTTGAAATTCATTTTGATCATATTTTCTTTAATATGTAGTTTTGCCAGTACCTGGGACTGGTATTGAGGTGCTTGAACAAGGTGACCACTATCACCTCTATTGTTTTGGACCGGAGGACAGAGTTTGAGAATTTATGGCCTTATTTTAAAATGCTTATTTTGAAGTGGACATTTTTGCCAGATGTCTGGCACTCAAAATAATTGAGTAGTCCCTTTTTATAAAAACATATTACACATATTTAGCTCACTATTTTTATCACTAGGCGCTTAAAGGCCCAATATAGAGTGAGCAAGAAATTAGTGGTTTTAAATGGTGGCAAATATGCGTCTACTTAAATTTTTTTTTTTTTTTTTTTTGGTTTGGTTTGGTTTTTTCTCCTTCAGTTTTCATATAAACCTGATGGTCATTAAGAAGACTTTCACAATCCTACACTTTGTTTTTGCCAAAACATCGCAAGATCTTTAAATTGAGATTGGTCACAAAACAAGAGCTTTATGAACCATCATTAAACTGTATTTTTTTTGTTGTTATTATTTTATTCTGAAACAAACTACAGTTGTAGCAGAATTAAGGTAACTCACCCTATTCCACAAATATCAGTATTATTCAATTTTTCATATAAGTATAGTTTTTGATTTTTGTGGCATTTAATTAAGATATGCAAAATCCATAGTCAACAAGCAGATGTTTTAAATAAACCCAGTCAGAGTTGAAGGAACACCAAATAGGTGTACAAAGTTTCTACAATGTTGACCATGTTTGTAAATACATAGTGACATTTGTTTAGCAAACAGACCAAACGTAGGTGCGCCTGCACTGTAAGCCTTGTTGTAGTCCTATTATTGTTCAACTACAGAAGGTGGTTTGCCAAACATTCAGGGGCCTAAATAAACCATGACATTACCACCCAGTACCAGTTAGCTTCTCCTCCTATCCTGCATCCTGTGGAATTTGGACAAAAACAGGAAGGTTATAGGCAAAGCCTCTGGCTCCTTAATTTGAAAAAGTTGCATTGCCTAAATTCTATGCCGAGTTTCCTGGGAAAATCTTTAAACCAAAATTATTTTAACAGCTGTGATTAATTACCAAGTGAGAGTGATTATTGTACTCTTGTTTTAGTGGCTACACCCTGACCTACTTAAAGTAAAAACCATACTTCTGGGTCTTCACTTGCCGTTTTTCACTCCTGAACTTCCACGGTTTAAATTTTTTACCAATGTATTTTATAATTGGTGGCCGATGAAAAATGTATTTCAAAATCTTTAATTTTCCCAGCCATGCTAGTTTGAGATCCTAAGTTCTGTTTTGTGAGTTGTAGACAAGTTTGGTTGGTTTAAAGTTCAGTTTTGTAAAATCCCTAAATCACTGGCCAACACAAATGTAGTGTTAAGAAGCAGATAATTCAGGAGGCTGTATCGGTTAGAGATTTACATCACTTAACAATTAAGTCGGCAAGGAACTTCAGACTAAAATAGCGGAGCCAGAAGAATAACACATTTAAAAATGTATTTTCTGTATGGCTACCACGGACTTCAGTTCCACTATCCATTTTCTACACTGCTCGGTTTAATGGATGAAACCCCACTGCGTTTACGAGAGCAGGCTGTTGTGGTGTTTTCTGCCTACTATCTGTACACAGTGGAGGTCCTGCAAGCTTTATAAATCGGGTGAATTTAATTCACTTTTCTCTTTTTTTTTTAAATCTTTTTTTTTCTCTTCAGTGTCGCCTATTATCCATCTTTTTATTTTCTGCTTTAAAATACTTTTATATGGAGGGTGGGGGTGGGGAGGGAAATGCTAAAACTTGACACTTTTTTTCAAAAGCATTCATGCACATTCACCGCTGAATTGTATTTTCTATAAAATTGAAGTCATTTTCTATAAGTCTATATATATATATATATGGTAACACTAATTATAGTTATATATTTCACACGCTTGTACGCTCACATTTAATGTAATGTAAAACCTTTTCAGAGGTATGACTATTACGTTTTTCTTTTTTTCTTTTTTTGTAAAATCGAGTTATACTAATTGAGTAGTAGACTGGGTGATGGTTTGTGTCTATGATAAATGTAGTTTGCATTTACGATAAATGCAATATACATTTGCTTAACGACTTTTCCCATCCTTATAAATGCAAACCACACTCTTGCACACAAAATACCAGATGTCTTTTTGATAGACAGTATAACACTATGTATAATTAAATATTTATTCTACTGTAAGAAATACAAGATGTACCAAAGGATTTAATATAATTACATTGTGGGGCTTTACGATATTCATTTCTGTAAAAAGAGTATGATTTTTGACAACATGAAATGGTAGGATTAGATCAGACTTCACCAAACTCCGGCCCTCCAGATGTTGCTGAACTACAACTCCCATAATTCTATGAATGAAATAGGCTGAGAATCATGGGAGTCGTAGTTCAGTAACATCTGTAGGGCCAGAGTTTGGGGAAGCCTGGATCAGATCCTTTCCGAAGGGTTATCTTGCAAATCTGATATTATTTTGCTTTTTGTACTAAATCCTTATAGTTAAGTAAAGGCTAACTGTGGCTCTGCAGAAGTTTCAAAACTACATTTCCCATGATGCTTAGATAGCAAGGAAATTAAGTTTATCCAGATGTCTACAGATCCAAAGTTTACCATCACGGTTTTGTATCAGCTGTCCTCAATCTTAATGTACTTTATGTGCTTTCTTTAGAACATCTAAAAACATTTCAGTTATCTGAATATATTTTAATCCATCTGTTGTCTGTAACCTTTGTTAATTTCGTTTTATCAAAAGGCTGTTTGCTATTGCTGCCTGTTTTATTTTAAGACCTAACTTGTGTGAGCAGGGAAAAACATTTTTTTGTTTTTCAGATTTCTCAGTATTTATTTTCATCATTGACCCTGCCCTGGGGTATAGAATGTAGCTTTGTACATGATATACATGTGTGTAAATATATATATATAAATATGTATATGAAACTACAATGTATCCAGACTCGTTTTCTTTTTTCGAATGCGTGCCTTAAGTGCATACGTATATACTTAGACTAGTACTATGTCATTCATCTGTGTTTATATTGGAAATGTTTAGTAGGTAATGCAGCACACGTCTTTCGTTATTTATAAAACAAAAAGAAAAAAGGTTATTAAATAAATCTGTTATTTTTTTTAAACTCTCGGGATAATGCAGTCCTAGCTTTACAGCTATATTACTGTACATAAAAAAAAAACCAACCTCTGCTGATTTAATGAGGCGGTAAGGGTGGACTTATAGAGTAACCTAGTTTACATACTGCTATATATTTGAGTGCCTAGAGGGCCACCTTTTCATGTGAACTTGCCATTACAAGGACATTTTAAAGGAATTTATCAAGCCCCATAAACACTTAAGCCCGTGGCAGTGTTTTTTGTGTAATGAGCGTTCTGAAGTTGTACAAAAGTAAGATATCAAATGCTGTACAGTATGACCGCTTACCTGGCTCTCGCTGGGCACTTAGATCAGCTGTGGGATGGCCCCAGAGCACTCCTGGCACCATGTACACTATGGTGGTCTGCAGTGCTTATGGTGCTTACTGTTTCTTCAACCATTGGGTTAGTAGGCTTACTCCAGCCTCACTGATCACTTGCTGCTTTTAGAATTGATCACGGTGGTAGGAATGTGCTTTAAACACTGCACATACAGAGATATTGGCACCCCAGCGCATGGTACTTAGGCAGGGCGGTACTTTGTTTTGAACTGCCTGTTATGTGCAAAATCTAAATCTGTCGTCCGCACTGTGTACCTTAAATTTTAATTTCCTTTTGAATGCTCACTTAGTGAATAACCCTAGTGGTTTTATGTCATTAATCCCAATCTCCGTGACCCCTCCCTCCTTCCCCTTTTAAAATAAGTAAAGGTGAAGGAGACCGGACTGCACAGAGGGAGAGAAAAGATTAGACTATTAACACCTTCACACACAATACCAGCCTGCGAGGTAGAGCTGATGGTAGCACCATTGACTTGGAGGGAAACCGACAAGGGAGTATCAACACTTGAGGTAAGAGAAGACCAGAAGTTCTGTTTCGGACAGATTGAGTTTAAGGAAGTGAGCAGCCATCCAGTTGGAAATCGCGGAGAGGCAGCCAGAGACACGAGTCAAAAGGAGTGGTGAGAAATCAGTGGAGGACAGGTAAATTTGCATCATCCGCATAGGAGTGATACTGGACAACGAAGGAGCTAATGAGTTTACCAAGTGAAGCAGTATAGATTGAGAACAATAGGGGACCAAGGACAGACCCTTGGGGAACACCAATTGAGAGGGTTGGGAGAAGAGGCAGAGCCAGAGATTGAACTTTTTCACAATTTGGGTTATAGTTGCATGTTTGAAGGGTAGAGGAAGTATGCCAGAGAAGAGCAGGAGACAAAGTGCGGATGAGGTACGAGGGAATAGGATCGAGTGAACAGGTGGTGGGGCGGTAGAACCGGAGCAGAAACCTCTTCTGCTGTATCGGTTGCAAATGAGTATAGAGCAGTGGAGGCAGTGTAGTTGGGGGAGGAATTGGTAGGGGATGGAGAGCCATCTTCTCAGTGAAGTGAGTTTCAAAGTTTGTGGTGGTCAAGTTAGGAGGAGGAGGTGGAGGTGCAACAGGCCAAAGAAGAGCGTTAAAAGCATGAGAATGTGGTTATGAGTGTATTGAAATAGTTTTCTTTTAAAGAGGAAGTCAGTTTGGTGTGCCAGGTTTTTAATTGGGAGCTTGCTGCGTTTAAGTGTAGGAGATGCCACGATGTCTACTTGAGATGAGAGTGGAGTTGTAGTGCTATAGCAGGTGAGGTTTGAGATGGGTGAAAGGAGACTTTGGTGGTTGGTGGAGAATCGCTGCAGGTCAAGAAAGTGGAGGATTCTGTGAGACTGATGTGGTGAGGGTTGTGTAATTTGGGTACGGGGTATGCCGATGTCAAAGGTCAGCAGGTGGTGGTCAGAGTAAATGGAATATCAGAGAGATTAGAGGTGGTACAGAGATTGGTGAAGACCAAGTCAAGAGTGTTACCATCCATTGTTAATCTTGTTAGAAAGTTGGATACAAAGAGACAGAGTGGGCTTCATTTCTATAAATGCTGATGGTGGTGAGGGAAAAAATTGTTTTCTAATCTGGCGTCCTTTAGCCATTACAAGCGGCCCTCCCTCCTTCATTTACTCTATTGCGTGCATCCCTGACTATTACTGGACTGTAACGGAGCTCCCTGTACTCCGACCAAGTACCCTCCGTTGATGGATGCTCCTAGCGCTTCCTGAGGACTCCAAACACTGCAGCAGACCCCACAACCACCGCAGACTCCACAACCGCTGTAGCTTAACTGGAGCCTCGCCGTCTTCCTTCCACCCTGGATCAGCTTCTGTCCTCCAGGACCGTGTGGGGAAGACCTCTCCTCCAGGAGAGCGTAACAGGAACAAGCTCTTAAAAGAGCTAAGTGATTCAAGCTCAGGGGAGTATGCAGAGCATAGCAATCCCCAGTGTGACTATAGCAGTTCCCTCCAATAACGAGACAAGGCTACGTATTGAGGGTCAAGCAGATCTGTTTATTGTCACACAAAGAACCTTCTTTTATGCAGGTTTCCCTGAGATAGGACCACCCACAGGGTTTTACACAACAACCAATCATAAACGTACATTACAGAAAACACTCCCAGCAATTACATACAAAAATCCTCCCCTCTGCCTGTGATCTAATTATGGCACAATACTTAACATAATTATCACAAGCAGGAAAAATACAGTTTTTATACATGTACTATAGTTTTAAAACTACACATCCAATCTTCATATTTGGAATCAGCACACTTTAAATATAAACATAACCAAAAATCAGACAAATCCATCCAGGGGTTAAAAAGTTAGCTGGAGGTCCTTTATGACCGACCTCAAGCACATTTTCATGCCCAAAACAGTTCCATAAATTTGGGCTGTGCGGCTGGTCTATTTCAGGCTGAAATAATGACTAAGTCCCATCACCGAATGGAACTTAGTCTCTGCAACTGTAAAATCAGTAGGGGAGAAGGTAGAGCTCAGCGGTGTTCGCGGAAATGTGTAGCCGATTTTAGTTCCATGAATTTGGCTACACACACCGCTGACCTCGTTCGCATTAACAAAGATGGCCGCCGCCACGTGTTCGGCAAACGAACAAAGGCCACCCAGCATTGTGAATTAAGCTGCGGTTAACCGCAGCTTCTGGGAGGTAAATTGCCTGCACCCTTCCACTTCTGGGTGGACCGCCTGTGTGGTACTTGGTTCAGTAAGCCCCACTTACTGAACCAAGTGGGAAATAGCCAGGCACAAAGGGTTTGAACCAGGTCTGGGGACACAGGGGACACCGTCTTAAAGAGGCAGTGTCCCAAACAAGTCTGGGGACACCGTCTTAAAGGGGCAGTGTCCCAATCTTCCTGATGTCCCAAAAAGGTGTTTAAAGGGCCAGCACCAGTCCCATAAAGAGTCCATAAGCCCCAATATGCCCACTGGCTGTCTTAAAGGGCCATACACACCCAATAAAGGTGCATAAGTTCTCACAATTTCCCAGGGGCCATAGTCATGTGGAAGGAGGCTGGCAAATAGGCTTCTCCACAACCCAGGGAAGCAGGGCAATTTGCCATTTAAAGGGCCAGTTACAAATAGCAGTTTGTAACATGGACCATGGACCTGAACTGGATGATGTGCAGTGACGACAGAGGAGTGCAACAGACAAGAGAGAACTTTGAATTTTGAAGCTGAATTCTAGTTACTTTTTTTTTTTTTTTCGCTCTTTAAAAAAGTAAAAAAACAGGGGGCGGAGCCTAACCTCGGAGGAAGATGGACGCCTGATCCCACAGCTCCCTCTCCCCCAGGCACAGAATCAGCCATCATCCGCATCACACACGGCCCAAACACCCTCCAAACAGCCCCCAGGCGACCACCCAGCATCAGGCTCCACAATATGGGCGGCGGGAAGAAAAGGAAAGAAGAGCTCACCCCATCGGTAGCCTCCATGTTCCGCACGCCGGGGGAATCCCAGAGGCCTACCCACTCCTATCAAGGAGCTGATCAAGGTACTGACTCAGAGGGGCCCGATCCCACACTTGACCCCTCGACCCCCCTCACCATCGGGAGCCTCAGGGACATGCTAAAGGAGGCCACAGTGGACATAAAGTCCCACAGAAGAGATCACTAAAAATTTAGCAGGCCTCAGAACAGAAATACAGACACTGACTGCCCGCACAGACCAGACAGAGGTACGTCTCACTGCACTGACAGCTACCTCCACCTCGCAGTCCCAGGAAATCTCCTACCTCCATGGCCGCCTCACGGCCATGGAGGACAACCTGGAGGACCTTAACAACAGATCACGGAGGAATAACATCCGAATCCGTGGCCTGCCCGAAGCAGTCCAGCCAGAGACCCTAAGCACCACCCTGAAAGATATCTTTTCTGCAATGGCACCCGAACTACCGCTGCCACTCCTGGAAATGGACCGGGCTCACAGAGCACTACGACCCCCAAATCTGAACCTCTCTACCCCAAGAGACGTAATTATCCGCCTCCACTACTTCCAAACCAAAGAAAAACTAATGCAACTAGCCAGAAACCGCCCTCCCAAGTATAAAGACGTCCGCCTAACCTTCTTCCAGGACTTGGCCCCAACTACATTAAAGAAGAGGAGAGATCTAAAACCCCTCACCTTGGCCCTCCAAGAACAGGGGCTAAAATACACTTGGGGCCACCCCTTTAAACTGCTGGTCAAAAAAGGCGACCAAACCCATATCCTCACCACAGCCGCAGAAATGGGCCCGATGGCGGACTCTCTAGGAATTCAGCTCCAGAATCCCACACCACTAACGGGATACAGGGGAAGAGACCGCTCCAGAGACAGGGCTGCATCCCCGCATCCGGCCAAACAGAAAAGACCCCCCCACGCCATAGAAGACAACACCGCTGCTAGACGTCAAGGGGAACAATCCCCGCCGCACCGCTCAGGCCGCTAGAAGTACAGGACGGACGCCAAATAAGAGGAACTTAACCACGAAGAATCAGCCCCATGGATCCAGAACCAACAGCAATGAGAACCCCAAGCCCATGGCAACCACCCCTCAGGGGCACACCCCGAGATAAAACCAAGAGGTCCCCCCTCGACACTCTCAAACATCCCCCATACAAGAACTGACCCGCACCGCACTACCGGACCGGTACCCCTTTGAAACCATCACGGACACAGCTTGACCCTCATAACAACACCAGAGGAGAAATCACCAACGCACCGAGCCCTGACCACCTTACACCCAACGGACCCAGTGAAATACATCCCCACTCCAAAACCGCCTCGGATCTGAAGAGAGAACCAAACGAAAAATACGTGAACTCTAGAGACATTACTCTTGCAATCTTCTACACTGTAGAACATGATTACCACGAGGGTAATGGGGAATAAGGCAGAGAAGGAGAGACAAGACTGACCACGTAGGGCCTAGTAGCAAGAAGAAAGAGGGTGAATCACACTCCAGACTAGATGGACCACTAGACACACTAACACTCACTACACCCTCCCAGACTAAGGACATCACACACACATAACACTGACACTGATCATACAATGGACAGGACAACAGCAGGATAGGGGGAAGAAAGAGTGGGACGAAGACGAAACCGGGTTTTAAAAAAAATAAAAAAATAAAAAAATAAAAGAAACGTAGAAGGGGAGGAGAGGGGGGATAGAATTAAGTGAAAACCCACACAAGGCACATCTAGGCAGTTACCCAAGATAATTAACTTCCCTGGAAGTCAACACACAGGTTAAGCAGAGGCAAAAACCACAATTATTACAAAATGTTAATGTTTTTCTTGTATATATGTTAATATATTTTCTTTCTCTTCCAAGCGAACCTCACAAGTGACAACACAGACTCACATATGACACAGAAGAAAGAAAGACCGAAAACGGAGCATCCTACCCCGTACCAATAAACCACCTTAACAATAGACACAACGAACCGACTAAGAACCCACCGACCAACCGTGAGTGATACACTGGCAATTGTGCAGGGGGAGAGAGGGTACTGGGAATGTGAAAAACCTTCCTCCTCTCTCCCTCACCACAACCCACAGTACCCCCCACAAGGGGACCACACCACACCTACCCCAACCCTTAAGGCACCACATACAACCCCCCCAACACCACCTGGCAATCCTATAGTAAGACCAGGGCACACCGTCACCCCGTTCTTCACCCCCTTTTTAGATACTAAAACCCCACAACCCTTACCTTTACCCCACTCCCCACAACCCCCCCCTCACCCCCCCCGGGAACCAATCGGGCGAGAAACCCCGGGTCCTTCGCAATCTAAATCACTAAACAGACCCACACCCCCAACCAATTTCAGCACAATGAAGTGCATTTCACTCAACTGCAAAGGCCTAAACAACCCAGCTAAACGCCACCAGCTGATGCGCTGGGCCAATAGAACGGGAGCAGACGTAATACTCCTCCAAGAAACACACTTTGAGACCTCGAGACCATTCCCACTTAGAAACAGACACTACAAAGAATGTCACTTAGCAAACTTCCCAACCGGAAAACGTAATGGAGTGGCAATACTCATCCGGAACACATGCCCCATCAGCTTCACAAACACTATAGCTGACCCGCAAGGCAGATTTCTCACTATAACAGGACAGCAAGGACAGCAAGGCACTCACAAATACGCGATCACTACACTATATGCCCCCAACAACCCAGACCCGTCCTTCTGGACAGCCATCCAGGCCCACCTCAAATTGTTCCCCTCCCACCACATGATCACAGGGGGGGGACTTTAACGCGGTCATCAACCCCCAAACAGACCGACAACGACAACCCACACGTACTGGTAAAACTACCCCAGCAGCCAAAATAGACAAATTACTCTCGAACTTTGTACTCCACTCAGGTCTCCAAGATGTATGGAGAATGCAAAACCCCACAACCCTCGACTTCACTTTTTATTCTCACCCTCATCTCTCATACTCTAGGATTGATATGTTCCTGATATCCCCGTCCCTCCTAACCCAAGACATTACAACATCTATAGGCACGATCACGTGGTCCGACCACGCAGAGATAACCCTAACACTCTCAATTCCACAAACAGCTAGAACATGGTCATGGCGACTAAACCCAACACTCCTACACATCCCTGAAATAAGGGCGTCCACCCAAACGACACTCACAGAGTACTTCCAACTCAACAAGGACTCAGTAGAATCCACAGGCATATTATGGGCAGCACACAAAGCGACCATAAGGGGCAAACTAATAGTGGAGGCCACAAAGCACAAAAAGCAAAAATTGCAGGAACTGAAGGACCACCTCCTCTCGCTGAGAGCCCTAGAGATTCAACACAAACAACACCCAACCCCACCGATCTTAACACAGATCAAAATCCACCAACAAGCCATCAAATCCTACATGGCCAAAGATTCACAAAGAGCCCTCCAATGGAGTAAACAGCTCTTTTACGAAAAATCAAACAAGGCAGACACCCTCTTAGCCCGTAAACTACACCAAAAAACACACAATAAACGCATTACTAAAATAAACTCCCCGAGAGGAAGCACACACGAAAGCCCGGATAGTATAGCGAGGATTTTCTCCCAATACTTCACAACACTTTATAATCACAACCCCGATCTAACACATGACATCGAGACATACCTCCGGAACACTCCTCTCCCATCACTAACGAATACGGAGATAGAAAGACTGTCTGCCCCTATCACGACGGAGGAAATGGCGAACACACTAAAAACCATTAAACCCAACAAAAGCCCAGGACCGGATGGATTCACAGGTCTTTATTATAAGACATACGCAAGCACACTAATACTGCACCTCACAGCTCTAGGGAACTCACTCCTCCAAGGAAACCCACTCCCCAAAGAAATGCTCAGAACGAACATCTGCCTCATCCCAAAACCGGACAAAACACATCTCGACCCAGGCCACTTTAGACCCATCTCTCTACTCAACGTAGACACTAAAATAATCACCAAAACCCTAGCCAACCGGATCCAACTACTCCTATTAAATTAATCCACCCTGACCAGGTAGGCTTCATCCCCACAAGACAGGCAGCAGACAACACGAGACGAACAATTGACTTGATCTGGGTAACACACAAAAGACAGTCCCCTACCCTCCTGTTATCAATGGATGCTGAAAAAGCATTTGACCGATTGCTCTGGCCATTCCTGTTTGCCACCCTCCAGAAATTCAAATTCCCGACCCCGATTCTAGACGCCCTGAAAGCCCTCTATGACCAGCCCACGGCCACACTTCTTATCCCCAATACTAAACACCCAGAATTTGTAATCAAAAACGGGACGAGGCAAGGCTGCCCACTCTCACCACTCTTATTTGCCCTTTCGCTTGAACCTCTTCTCCAAAACATACGAAATGATCAGACAATACAGGGCATTAAGATAAGATCAGAAGAATACAAAATAGCGGCATATGCTGACGACATCCTCCTCACACTCTCAGACCCCATCCAATCTTTACCACCCCTACTAACACTCCTACAACAATACGCAACCCTCTCGGGATACAAACTAAACCTGGAGAAAACAGAGGCCCTTCCGATAGCAATACCACAACACACCCTGGAACAACTACAACTAACCCACCCATTCAAATACAACCTAAGCAATATACGATACCTAGGAACATACCTCCCAGCAGACCTGAACACATTATATGCCCTGAACTACACACCACTACTCCACCAAGCACAATTAGATCTGCAAAAATGGGGACCTATGTCCATATCCTGGATAGGACGCATAGCCTCAATAAAAATGAATCTCCTCCCCCGATTCCTCTATCTCTTCCAAACACTACCAATACCCATTTCCAAACACGACTTTAAAACGCTCCAGGTACACATAGACAGATTTATCTGGTCAAACAGGAGACCGCGCATAAAAAGAGCCACAATGTACAAAACCACAAAATCAGGAGGCCTGGGCCTCCCGAACTTCTACCATTACTACCAAGCGGCCCAACTGGCCCAAATACAACAACTGCACGCACCACCAGGATTCAAGCTCTGGGTAGACCTAGAGCACGATCTCCTGGGACGAGACCACCCATCACTACTTTTTTGGCTGCCCAAGAAGGACAGACCACCCACGCCACTAACCACCCCTACATTAACCACATCTTTTCTCATTTGGGACGACATCACATCAAAACATCCCATAATCAACAACCCATCGCCCCTCACACCTATCCTAAGAAACAAGCAATTTCCCCCGGGCCTAACTCCCAAAGACTTCTCACGATTTGAGGACAATGGACTATTACGATTCCTACACTTTTTCCAAGGCCAACAACTCTGCCCCTTCCAGGACCTCCCCAAACAAACACCTCTGACCACATTCGATCACTTCCGCTACATACAGATTCGCAGCTTTCTCAACGAACCACAAAATAGGACGGCCGCCACTACCAAACCAACACAATTCGAAAATACATGCCTCCACGCACCCATACAGAAAGGACAAATCACAAAAATATACTCACTCCTAAACTCAAACTCCCCAGAGGACGCACTCTCCTACACCAAGGCCTGGGAAAGAGATATAGGCCCCCCCGCAGACCCTACAGACTGGGCAGACATATGGGAAGCCACGGCCTCACTTACCATTTGCGTTAATCATAAAGAACAAGCCTATAAAACCCTACTCAGATGGTACCTCACACCGCTCAGACTGAAACAAATGGGCCTCGCCACCACAGACACCTGCTGGAAAGGCTGCACACAGAAGGGCACTTACATTCACCTCTGGTGGGAGTGTCCCCAAGTCCTACAAATATGGGAAAGAGTGAGCACGCTCGCGTCAGACATATTAGAAACAGATATCCCAAGAGACCCCTGGATATGGCTGCTCTCAAAACCCCACCCTCCCCTCACCAGAGCGCAAAATAAACTAGTGGCCAGATTAGCGTTAG